ATATATATATATATATATATATATATATATATATATATATATTATGTTCGAAATATCAAATATAAAAGATATTTTTCAGATAATAAAAATTAAAATAATTATCCAAATAATTTCTTATTTATGAAAATATTTTCTAACTCAATATTTCATTTTTGAAATAATTTAGAAAGTAGTTTTCAAATAATAAAAACTAAAATAATATTATGCAAATAAAATTTCTCATTTCATCAAAGTACTTTTCAATTCAATTTTATTTTACTTTCGAGATATATTAAATACTCAATAATATTCAACAGTTTCTGGAGATATTTGAATGAATAAAAACAATTTTATCCATTTTGCAATTTCAAAGATAGAATTATTTTAAGTCGGCATATCAAAATTGCGTTAGCGAAAATGTTGCGCGAAGGATTCGGTTACACTCATTATGGCGATGTAGTACTTGTAAGAACATTTGTGTGGCAGCCTCCCGAGGGGCAGTCGTGGATGATCGACGACAGGTATCGTGCTGCCGATTATGGCAAAAGGGCAGCACACAAAACCCGTTCGGCCGAAGTGCGAGTCTCGCTAGCCTCGGAGCGCCTAACAAGTGCCTTATTTGTTGGGGCACACTTATGGACATATATGTACCGGGAATCGGGTACCGTATACGTGCGCGCTACAGTTTTCACGATGATGCAGAAACACCACGTCGGCGAGCGGTGAGAGCTGTAAGGCTTGTCACCTGAGAATGCGGACAGCGTGGCGAACTGGCATTAAATACCTAACGTTCCCCGTGCTCTGGCAGCGCCTATCGCTTATCGTGTCCTGAAGAAATGTTATGGCTAGAATCCGGATTTTTCTTTGCCGTCCATCCGCGGTCCTATGATAAATAAAGAGGAATGAATACTTTGCAACTAAGTTAAAACGAATATGTTGTTAAAAATCTGTGTCTTTGTGAATTTTTACTTTTTTATGTTTTAACGATAATTTTTTTCAATTATTATCTTATATTTTAATGGTAATTCCTCTCAACATTATTTCTAGGTTTGATTATTTTCCGATAAGAATATCTAGCTGACATTAATTTTCTTCATTAAATGCTTCAGCAAATTAAATTTCGAAATCTTTGACGCTCTTGTTGGATCATTTAAATTGATGACATGAGAAATAAGAAAATTAAAAATTCTTGAAAATTAAAATGAAAATACTTTTTGTTTAAAATATTTTATGTTCTTTTGTTCTTGATTGGATACAATCCAATTTATCGAAACAAGAAAAAGATTTTCTGTGTGTATTTTACAAATCTGTTCTATTGCAAATATTGTTTTATTGAAAAATAATCTTCACTTATATATATATATATTCTACAAGAACTTTTATCATATGTTTTCTAATTTCTGATACTTGAAAAACCAGCGGGAGTCACAATTTCCATACTGTCTTCCTTGAATATATTTTATGAAAGAAATCCCGCTTTCACATTGTTCAAAAAAATCTATGGTTGAAATATATATAAAAACATACGTATAAATACATGTTTTTATATGTATTTTAAGATTCTTTCAAAAATATATGTATTTACATTCGAGTAGACTGAATATATAGTATATAGGCAACTTTAAGTCCGACTTATGTTGATCGAAGAGAAAAACTTGAAGAAACGGAAAATATTTTTAAAGTTTCAATGTTATCTTGAAAAGAGTTGCGTTCCTCGTGATATTTACGATCGTCGAGCGATCTTCGCGATCTCGTCGTCGCGATCGATTCCGTGAACCAGAACGTGAACCAGACGGTTAGAACGCGATTACCTCGTCGTTTCCTTTTTGAGTTAAAAATTCCTGCGCAACTCGTCCACGGCGGGAGGAACGAAGAGGATTACGGAGAATGCCGACGCGTAAAAAAAAACGCCGGGACAAAAAGTCAGATGCCATGAAGCTAATCCGATTTCATGGGACCGTGGCCTTCTTCGACCGCGCCGTTTCGAGTTTTCTATAGAAACTTTTTTTACGGCGCGCAAAACACCCTTCTCGCGAGGCCGTATCGAAAATGATCGTTGCGGTTAGCCGTTGCGTGGCCGGCGCGGCATTTCGTCTCGGTTCAATTGCCTCGGAATCGTTGGAACCACTGCAGCGAGTAGCAAGCGAGATTGGTACACCTACTCGCGCGCATTGCAATTTTCGATTCCCTCGAGCGCGTCGAGATGCGCATCGTGGCTATCAAGTTGAATCGCATTCTCCGCATCTTCTCCGCGAAGGCGATTCAAATGTGTTTGCGAGGGAAAGAGGAAATGATATTTTTCAAAACCAAGACGATGATAATACTCGTAAAAAAGTTATTTCAAGTTACTTTAAAAGTCTAAAGTTACTTAAAGTTTACTTTAAAAAGTTTTTCAGTTAATAATAGATATTAACCGATAATATAATATAAATGACATTTGTTATTTGTTTGAGAAGGAATATGATATATACGACTCTTTCTACTTCTCTCTCTCTCTCTCTCTCTCTCTCTCTCTCTCTCTTTTCTCTTCCGACATATGACAATATATAGTACGGAGGAGGCTGACCGCTAAATTTCGCGTCTTCATTCGGAATTATACAGGAGGATACATCGGTCACAAACAGCAATTGTCCGGTATCACGTTTAATTGACGGTTATAAAATGTAGCGCGAGCGTGCAATCGAGAATAATTTGGCGTGAGACGCGCGACCCGAGAGGAGATGCGTCGCTCCGTGATTCCTATAATTTTCTGGATCGTGTTTAGCGAAACGACAAGTGAGTAGGTGTCGTAATACGCGTATCCCTATCATTTTGTGACATTATTATTAGATCGACGCGCTTGCATCGCATTACGTCGCGTTATCGTTGCTATTCACGGTGATATTCTCCCGCCACTCGAAATAACACGCGATCCGTGTTGACAGCACCAGATCTTCGAATTTAACAAATATTTTAATATAACATCGAATAGTATGTTAAACATTTCAATTTCCCTCTTATAAAAGATGTATATCATAATAAACCGTAATGTGGACTTAAATCATGTATTTTTATATTATAATGTATAATTTATATATATATATATATATATATTCAATAATGTTATATGATTGAAATTACACACACGCGTGCATACGCAATTATGTAAAGCGCGGTGCACGAGAATTAGGAACAATTTGTGCCATAAAAGTGTTTCAGAAGATGCGCGTTAGCGTATGATTCCTATAATTTCCAGCGCTCTTGTTTGACAAAATAACAAGTGGGTGGGTGTCGGTTTTCACACCCGCGGCTCGGCGGGATCTCTCCGGAGAATGTAAAAAAGGGTGGTACATAAAACCGGTCCCGATGAATCTTTGTTATATGAAGCCCCCACATATCGCTTGCCGCCTCATGCCTGTGCCTATAAGGACGAAACGGCCAGTCTCAGGACCGTACACGTCACGAAAGACACCTACACTTTGTATTTCCGGTTGTCGTTAAATCTTAAGTAACAACTCCTCTAACGTGTATTACCATGATTCAACAATTATTTAAATTATTTTCTTAGTAAAAAAAAAAAAGTAGGAATCGGAACGAATAAATTATGAAAATTATCTTAATAAGATGCAGAAAGCTGTTTCATTTTATTCTTGACTTTATTAAAATGAAATATTCCGTTACGAGAAAATAAATGGTCATTAACTGGTGGTTCATCTCGTGCTCATTCAGCGAATTAAATATAGCCGTTACGTCGAATTCGCGTATTCAACGGAGCGCCAAATGCGTCCTCGTTCATTAGCCTAAGCGACCGATTGCATCACGCCCGATTAAAATCGAATGTAAATCGCGGCTCTCACGAGTCGAGGATGTCTCATCGTAATGACTGGTCATGTTCGGCCCTAAGCATTTTAAATGACTTGAAAGTGTTGCCGAAAAAAAATTTAGAAATCTATCTTTCGATCTTCGTAATGGCGCTATGAAAAATTAAATATTCCATATCTTTGTAATTCGCAGAAAATTCGCGCGTTAATTTAGATATCTAAAAATTACCGCTCGAACGTCATCTCTCTCTCGATTGAGATATCTATATCTCGAAATAAATAAATTTTCAATCTCGGCCTTGAATTCGCCTATCAATTCGAGGATTCAAGAGCACGGCTCTCGAATGGCTAACAAGTATAACGTATTTCTGATCGTCAGACGAGATCGATTAATCTTCACCGGCTACTGTCTTCTCTCCGAAGACGCGACTCAACTCGGCGTTCTCTTTGATCGAAACCACCAGTGGCCCCAATTCACACCTGACTCTCAGCGATAAAAACCGCCTCTAAAGATATCCTTATCCAGCCTCTGCGTAGGCACGAGTCCCGTTCCTACGACTCGGAGGAAGTGAACTGTTATCGTAGAGCAGGTAGTCGTTTCTTACGGCGCACACCA